TTTTTTTAAAAAATACAAACTATTGCTTTAGGAAAACTGTAGATTGTTTCTTGCCGGGTATAATATTAGAAACATGTGAATGTGAATCACTCGAACATCAGCTGTCTAGGTGCCATAGACGAATAGAAATAAAAAAATATTTGCAATAGCGATAAGAAACAGACAGCTGAAGTGAATTTTGCACAGCAACATTAGCAATTTATAAAAAATAAATAAAATGACAATTTGTAAATGCAACTTGTTAAGACTAGGTATGCACTTTAAATATGCTCCTAAATATGTATGTATATGAAAATAAAGAGGTAATTCCCATTTCCTTTGCACGGTCAATCCGTTACATCATCAATTTGGCGTCGATGCGAAGCTACAATATAGAAGAGGGAGTGCAAGCTACTTCATCATATGTTAGTTAAGACAAATAGTTCCCGATATGAAATAAATAACTTTCAGCTTTCTTTGAAGTTATTAGTTTAAACAGAATAATAAAAACTCTGAAAGTGCAAAGTATTACATCTTTTATAGGCTATGCTGGAAAGTATTGTACAAAACTCTTTGAAATGTGAATAATATTGCACATTCAATTATCGCCTAGATCTGGTGGCGGCGGATACACACACGCCAATGTCACTAAGTATTGCCAAGGTCAAGTGCACGCATCTCTACTTCCTTCAGTTCTGACCCCGAATGGAAAAATACCCAAACAAAAAAATTTTCTGAATTTCACAGCGCGTGTATTGCTGACGTCACAACGTATACTTCGTAGTTGTGGCAGCGAGGTTGTGCAATTTCTTCCCGTCAATGCTTCCCTAGCTTTAACTATTGTTAATTACATAAAACTTTATGAATTTCTACTTACCAATAACCATGAATGGTGAATCCTTTACCTTCCGGGAAAGTTTGCCGCCCTGACTTTCGTCACGCGAATCTTCAAAGTATGATTTTGAGCTCATTTTTGTTTATTTTCACTTTTGCTTAGGTTTAGAAGAATTTACTTAAGCAATTTTCTGGTTATCCACCGTTCAATTTTTTTAATTTTCTTTTTATTTGATTTTTAAACACCACCTTTCTTTGCAATTTTACGTTTTCCCTCTTTTGCAACGATATCCAACCTTTCGCGATGATAGTCGATTAACTATTGAAAGAAATATACGTTAAGTGTATTTATATGTATATGCAAAGTGTGTAATTTCTTTTAGATTGAGCACATATATTTGTGAGGGCTACATAAAACTAAATAGTAGATATGTAAATTATGCAAAATTTGGTGTTTCAAATAAAGTACTAGTATATTATTTAATTATTTAAGTAATATATGAATTAATCGATTTTGAATGCATTTCGATAGTTTGCAATGAAAAGTGCCACCATTTGAAAACCAGCTGGTTTTACAGGGTTATATATATAAAAAATAATTATCAACTGAAAAGTTTCACTACTATGGGGTTTCACACACATTGCGGAAATTTTAAGAAATTGTAAATTGGTAATAATGAATTTTCTTTTTAGCTATATTTTACGACCAATTATAGGCCACCGCGTGGCGAATATAACTCAATTCGCCATACACAATACAAATATTTTTAAAAAATATGAAATTTTAAAGAATTTTAACAGAAATTGTATATCTACCTTCATTTTTATCCGCGCACATCTACACTTTATGGAAATTAATCAAGTATGACGAAATTCGAACGTACACAACACAAATCAAAATTTTTGGTTTTTATACTGACGGTTTATGAGACCGCCTGTACATGCATAAAACGTCGAAAGACAATTTTAAATCCTTTTACAAAACTAATTTTAAATTGGCAATTTTTGCCCCTTTTCGACCTGCAACATAGTTTTCTCAACAAATCAGCACAAAAAATCTATAACATATTGTCGGCCCCCGTACTCGTCCAAATTGTGTTGAATCGTGTTCAGAGATTCAAAAATTCGAAGTTGATATACAAGCAATTTTTTATACCCGCACTAATAGGGCTGCTATTCATAAATTTGTTAAAGGTTTTTTATACGACACACCCTGCGTATTGCTTTTATCAACAACAATAGAATTTTGCTTTGTAGCCATCAGCTGTTGTTTCGCCAGGAGCCCGCTTTTAAACAATTTCGCAACATTTTAAATTTAGAGGTACTTATAGAAATAATGGCAAGCACAAGCTCGTCGAGCACTACAACACAATGGAATCCGAATTATGATGTTCTTATCAGTGACAGCGAGGACGATGATGATGAGACCAAACCAAATTATAAAGGGCGCGAGGCACTCATTTTCGTGCTTGACGCCAATCTCTATGAGGAATACGAACGGTTTTCAGAAGCATTGGATATTGTACGCAAGGCCCTAATTTCGGGATTGCTGGTGAATAGCAAGGACCTAATTGGCATCGTATTTGCAAATACAGCGAAGAATACAGATCCTTACGAGGCAAGTAGTTTGGATAATATTGTAGTACCGCAGAATTGTGCTGTGTTCTTGCCGCTACGTGAGCTGTCCAAGTCGATAGTAGAACATTATTTGCGCTTTATGGAGACTGTTGAGCAGGAATTTGGCGCCGATTATGGTATAGTGGGAAATGGTGGAAATAGTGACTTTTCTGCAATGCTGCGTCTGTGCATAAACCTTTTCGAAAACGCAGGATATAATCTAGTTTCGTCTACTTTGGTATACCTAACTGATAGAGCAACACCGCATCC